AATAAACAATGGAGAATCCACATACTGTTGATGAACAGGAAGAGGAACAGGAAGATTATCATCAGCTGGATAGGTATGATTTCCAGCATTTTTTTTTACAACAGCAGCAGCAACAGCAGCAACTGCAGTATCAGCACAATTGTTTCAGGATGAAGAGGAAAAGAAACGACAAGAACAAGAGGAGGAAAAGAAACGACAAGAACAAGAACAAGAGGAGGAAAAGAAACGACAAGAACAAGAACAAGAGGAGGAAAAGAAACGACAAGAACAAGAAGAAGAAGAGGAGAAGGAAAAGGATAAGCAAAAACAGCAACAGCAGCAGACTGAGATATACAAATTAATTGAAGAAGGTAGAAATTTACCTCCCCATCAACCTCCTCCTCCCTATCAACTATCCCCCCCTCCATATCAGCCTTATCCCCAAGTTTTGTCAATATTGTGGGATGTCCATAAAAATAGATTTCCTAGTTTTGTTTCTCATCTTGAAGAGGTATTTAATGCACCTTTACTTCAAGATACATATCTAAATTTATGTTTAACCTATCTGCGTTATCCAGGATTAAATTATCATAAACTTAGAGAATTTAACATTTTGTCTTACAACAGTTTTGGTGAATATATTTATGGACATCCAACTGAGAAATTTGATAACATGGGTAATAGGATTTATAAAGTTGGTTCTGTTGTGAAAATGAATAAACAGCCTGATATGGCTAGTATTGTTGCATCTATGACTAAAAACAAAAAATTTACCCTTGTGAGATGTTGTGAATGTATACTTCAGGAGTATGTAATTGCCTCAAATCATTTACAAAACATCAAAAACTATTAATTTTATATGGTAAAATATAACAAAGGCTTTCTTCCAATTTTTAAATTATTATTACAGTTGTTAAATAAAGTTATAAAAAAAATGTAGTTTTTCTCCATACATACTTTAACATTTGGTATTGGAGTCAGTACAATCTATCAACTAAGAGAGAATTGCCTTATCTGGACCTGGTGTATTGGGCCTAATTGTACCACCCGTGCCCGTGGTGATCTGTAGCATCGACAGGTACAGATACACTAGTAGCGGCATTAATTTGTTCAAAAACAGAATCTCCACACAGGGGTAGATAATTAGAGGAGTTATTTTCGGCAAGAACCTTTTTTTTTTCCTCTTTTCTCTTAATTTTTCATAAAATTTCAAGTTGGGGGGTAAATCATCTACAGCATCATCACCACCAATATCCGAGTCAGCAACAGCACCACCAGTATCAGAGCTCTGTTCAGCAGCAGTATCATTATCACCAGTTCCTGAGTCAGCAACAGCACCACCCTCAGAGCTCTGTTCAGCAGCAGCAGCAGCAGCCTCAGTGTCTGAGTACACAACATCACCACCAGTGTCAGAGCTCTGTTCAACAGTAGTAACAGAAGTAGTGTCAGCAGCTATTTCTGTAGGGCAGTTGAAGAGGAATGGCATCCTTTTTCTTAAATTGATTCTCCTCCATGTTACCTGAAAATTAAGTTCGTCAAACTTATATTATTATTCTTACTAACCACTACAATATTACACCACACTACCACGGAGCAGGGCTTTTATGTGTAAAGTGGTGGTGGGATGGACCTTATTTATACTAAAGCCACTATCACCACACCGGAACTGGGTTGGTGGTTGGTTAATTATAATACTACGAGCAAACACTTTTCATTACTTTTTAATTTATAAAAAATATTTACAAAATAACTATATAATGGTTAAGCATACTACCCTCATAAGCAATAAAAATATCAATACTACCACCACAACTATGCTGAATAACACATTACCATTTTCCCTTCCAGAAATAAGTTTTGTTGCAAGAAAGGACTCCTCGGACTCTACTCTAATTCGTGAAAGATTAAAAAAATAGAAAGAAAAAAAATTTTCTTTTTCATTAGGAAATGAAATTAAACATTTAGGCTCCGGTGCTTATGGTAAAGTAAAGATTGTAGCAGTTCCCATGAAAGAAATTTTAGATCCGCATCTTCCAAGAAAATGGAAAAAATTCCGGCGCTATTATCCCTGGACAACTGTATTTTTAAAGAAAAACTCTGAACTAACTAACAATTTCGGGGAATTCATTTAGTTGCAAGAAAATATTTCTACGATGAAAAAGATTAGTTACGTGAATTTTATAATGTTAGTCGACTATCATCGGTTTTACGTAAAGAAACATTCGTTCAAATGTATCGCGCAATTAAAAATCATAGCATATCCAAAGTATTACATAATCCCAGCGGTGAAATAATAAGCGAAAAAAGTTCTCCATGTGTTCCTTTGAGTGTTAATGAAATAAAGTATAAAACAAGATTCACTAATGACACACACTTAAGTTTTATAGACATGGAGTATTTACACCCTCCTGATTGGGTCATTTTAAAAAAGGCAGTGAAAACCTATTCTCTTATGTATAAACGTAAGCAGTTTTTAAATCAAGTCGCTAGAGAATTAATTCGTATTCTATTACAAATTGCTCGAGATTGTTTGGGTGGTACATATTACGATATACATCCTTATAATGTGTTCATTAACTTATCTTCAACGCCATTGAAGGTAAAGTTCATTGATTTTGGGGGATTGTATATTCCTTCAGAAAAAGCATTTATTCTTCCTCCCAAAACTCCTTTAAGGAGACAAAAACAAAACAAAAAAGAGACAACTTTTCACAATTTCCACCAACATTAATTATACCCAATAAAATAATGAAAACAAGAAGCACTATACTACCACTACCACCACCATCACCACCATCACCGTTATCACAACCTCCATCTCTACCAAAAATTATTAATGTAATGCCGACTAGTTCTTACGTAGAGGATAATTTATCTGACCCATTTAACTACACCATTAAGGGGAGTGAGAAAATAAAGACTTATTACTCTAATAAATATTTCGTTATACCTTTTAATAGAAAAATAAAGAGACAACAAACTAATAAACGTAAAAGGCTGTCAAGAGAAAATGTGCTTATCTATCCCGCATTTTATATTATAGTAACAGTTGTAAATATGTGTAGTAATTTACTACCAGTAAAAGATATTACTTCTAATAATACAAAATTATTCAACGATGAACCTTCTGAAATTTATACAACCTCTGTCAATAATACACCAACCACCGATATACCCACTAGAAGAAAATGGTATAATATGTTACTGCAGATAATTAGAGCTTATAATATAGAGAATATTGCCGACAATCAACAACAACGTTTATCTCTATCAACGCTATTTAAAGATCTCCAGAAACAAGAAAATATTATAGAATTCTTAAATAAGAATTCTGAAATTATAGATACTTTGAAACTCTAAGGTTTGTTTCTGTAAATATTCATGAGATTATATGTGAGCACAGCCCACACCTCTGACAACCACCAAAATTTTAACGTAAAAATTTATCTCGGGAATCAAAAAATATAGTAGGTAGGATACACATTTATTTACAAAATATTTTTCTGGTATCAGCTAAAATATTATTTATGTTTGGATATTCTTGATGTTTTATTAAAATATTAACCAATTTCATTCCCACAATATCTACATTATCATGATTTAGTATTTCAACTGCAGTAGAATTTGAAGATAACCGTTTTTCATGACATTCGTGTAATTTTTTTAAATATAATAATGATATATTTTGTTCGCCCTTTCTTTGTCTTTTTACTATTCGTTGAAAACAAATTTGGGGTTGACATTTCAAATAAAAATTTAAGTTTGAATGGCAATATGGTTTTAGGAGTTTATAGGCGTGTTCGTAAATTGTCTTTTCTGTATCAGATATTTTTTCTTCTCGATTTAACGAGTCGACAAAACACAATCCACTATGTACTGATCTTTCCATTATAATAATACGTTTCATATTTTTCATATGCATATTAAAATATGTCGGCATAAATAAAATTAAAATCATAAATTGAAAAATGGAAGCCCACTTTTTAGGATCTTCATACATTAAATTTAAAAGATTTTCCCAAACTCCAAGAGGTTCAGAAACAAATTCAAAATATGTTGGAGAAAGTTTTTCCTTTAAATAGGAAATCAAAGTTGATTTTCCACTTCCAATGTTTCCTTCTATGTTGATTATAAACGGTTGGGACGAATCCATCTTTTTTAATAAACATGCCATGCATGAAAATGCGTACAATGGGAAAAAAGAAACGTGGTAAGAACTTAAATTCTTTCAAAATTAGTTTTTTTTATATATTATGGTTGGTTAAAAAAAATACAAGCTACTTATGCATCACCCCCTCCTCAATTTATAATGTCAGAGAGAGAAAGTATTTTCAAGTTTATCTTTAAAGAAACTAGATTGTTAAAACCCGCAGGGCATGATTATTTACATTTAAAACAAGTATTTGAGGATTGGATGAATCATGAGACTCAAAAAATTTTCAGAAATATGAAAAAAGAAATACATTAAAACGGGTCCGGAACAGATTATTTCCTATAAATAATGAGAAGGTAAAAGATTATCTTTACTCCAATGGATTCGGGATTGAATTTTTTTTTAAAGATATATTTAATATAGCGTATTATAAACTCATTTTTCCGCCAAAATGGAGTGTCATTGAAAATTCTCTTAATTGTAGTAATTATATAATTTGTGATCCATTATATACTCCTAAAATAAGTATTTATTTAGGGAGATTAGTATTTGATTGTTATCCGTTCAGAGAAAATTGTCTTTATGGAAAATCATTCATAATCTCCACCCCTCTTGAATATTCTATGAATAAGGAAAAAGAAATTTATAAGACAACGAGTTTATTACCTATCTTGGAAACACTTTGTAAATCCACAATTATCTCATACAAAAACGGCGCTTACAAAAATATTATCAGTCTACAAAATATACCACTAATTATTTACAAGGGAATAGTAGATGTGATGTTAGAGAGAGAACTTGAATTTTCTTCTATTGAATTTTATTCTCTTTATTCAATACACCCCCATGAACTTTCATCGTGGAAAGAATGTTCAATCTGTTTAGAAAATATAAGATCTTCGTCCGGTATCGAACGAGCTATAAGAGATATATTAAAAAGGCAAAGAAATAAGAAATATATTAATCTCTTAATAAAACAAAAAACTTTTTTTATAGACGATATAAAAGTTTTTAAATTTCTCGAGGAGAATGGTTTTCGTATATATACAAATGAGAGGGATTGGGGTATAAATGAAGAAGAAGGAATTATATTTCAAACTGTAGGTTTCCCAATGGGCTGGATTTTTAGAAAAAATCCTTTAAAATATAATAGTTATATTATATATAACCCGCAAAAAGAGGCCACTGTTGAGGGTTTTTTAAAATAAATAACTCTCTTAATATCTGTGGATATGGTTCTCGATTAATGACGCAATATGAAATAAAAGGGTTGATTAGTGCCCATTATTCTCCTGTAGAATTGCATAATTCTGTTCATTTACAATATATATCAAATTTTATGAAAATTATTAATTTAAGAAATCATGCAGCACTATATTCTTTAAGTCAAATAAAACTTGCCAAAAAGAAATGTCTTATCTGAAGGGAGAGATTGACTTGGGTAAGTATATATAGCAATGTTTAACGAGCTTTGTTCCACTAAGAAAATGTCGTCGTCTCATTAAAAAGCAACGTCTTCGTCGGAAAACTCGTACTAACTTTCCTTCTCTTCCCTTCTGACAAACAAGTGGAGGAGGATAAAACACAAATAGAGGGAGGGAGATGAGAAAAACAAGGAGGAGATAGAGAGAGTAGAATATAAGCTAAAATAATTGCTGGTCGTTCATATTATTAAAACCAAACTTTATATTGTACACACAAAATATTATGTAAAAACTTATAGTATTTGCATTTTTCGAGGATCTTATCCTCACCCCCATTATATCTAAAATAGCTAAAGCTTATTTTGTAACAACTCATTTTTATGTACCTTTATCCAGTTTTATGTACTTTTTCTTTTTTACGTTATCATAGTCATCAGTCTGGTCTAAACAGTTATAAACTCTACGAGCCTTACCATATAATTTAGGAACTAACACTGACACCCACTGGTCCTTTGGCCACTCATTCTTCCCGGCTATTTTCTCAAAAGTCCTAAATGACCCGTCCATATCGGATTCATCAAACCCGGGAACAAGGGAAGAAGCAGTAGCAGGGTTAAAAGCAGCTAGTTTCTCTCTTTATGCCACTTCTTTTGATTTAAACTCCGATGTTAAGGTGATTTCTATCTCTCTTACCTGTAGTTCTTTCAGTCTAACCTCCTGCTCCAACTTGGCCTGCTCCAACCTTTCCTCATGTTCCAACTTGGCCTGTTCCGACCTTCCCTCCTGCTCCAACTTGTCCTGTTCCAACTCGAGTTCTTTCATTTTGATTTGGAACTCGAACCAAGCTCGTTCTAGTTCTAAGGCGTCTACTCTTTGTGCTTTTTCTTGAGGGCTAGCCAGACCTGAGGCAACTTCTGAGTGAGGAGGGGTGGTGGATAGTGGTTGAAGTTTCTTGGACATGGGCGTTAATCTGTCAACAGCGGATTCTTTTAAAACTTCTTGTTGAACCAACACTTCAATTACATGATTTTTTAACATTTCCTTAGTCAGTTGCTGTGAAAATGGGATATTGTAATAGTTGGCTATTTCTTTCCATTCTTTCTTCAGGATATTAACACGTAATTTAGCTACGGAAGGATTTTCAATAAAATCCTGGAGATCAAAACCTGAGGTGGCCATTGTTAAGAAAAATAGGATAAATTAACTAATGGTCAAAAGATAAGATAAGTGGATAACCCTAGAAAATATCACGGCAGTGGATAACCAGAAAGTCCCAGAAACTAACCAAGTTATACCTAGGGAAATTACACTTATGATTATTGTTCTTCTGAGAAGATCCTTAGATAAGGATAAGAGACTTGAAAGAGGTATTACGGCATTAATATAAAGATCCGGATTAACAACCCTGATATACTTGAAAGAGGAAGGGCGTATTACGGCATTAATATAAAGATCCGGATTAACAACCCTGATATACTTGAAAGAGGAAGGGCGTATTACGGCATTATATAAAGATCCGGATTAACAACCCTGATAAATGGTATGATTGACCCGAATGAGATAATGAGAAGAACAATAATGAGGCTTTATAATTATGGGGTCCTGGTAGAGCGGGGCGTCCCAAGATATCACTTCACCCTGAACTAGTGACTATGGAACAGCCTACTCTGGAGTGAGGGTACGGCATTAAACAGATCCGGATTCTTCCCTACACTCGATAAGACTTACTACACGACTGCCACGTGTAATAACAGGTAAGCCTTATGACACTTGGAACCTAATATCCTACGTCTGTCACTCTTACTGTACGATAATACCAATATATGCACACACATATGAAGGGAACTTTAAACCACCGTAAAGCAATTGTGAACAGAAGTGACTGGGAGGAATAATTAACAAGGAGTTACAAGGGAGGAAGGAATATGGTACTTAAGGTCGTGTCCTGTCACGGTCGCCATTTGTTACGAGTTGGGGATTTAGAATATAGTTATACGTCTACCCAGATCCCAACAGGTAACAACAACAATAAAAAACAAAGACAATCGGACTATAAAAGGGTAGACAAAGGATGCGAGTTTTCGTTGTGTATAATAAAGTAACATAAATCCCTTAACAAAATATTCAGCTTATAAATTACCCTTAACCAAACTTAACCTAAACATTAACAGTATATACATATTAATAAAACATAAAACAATCGTGAAGCAAGGTGGAGGTGGGAGAGGCAATACAAGATTACAAATACTTAAGTGAGGAGCTGAGATGGCTGACGAGTAAGGCTGAGTATTGTAGAAGACAGTAGGTAGTCACTGTGCCGTAGGTTTAGAGGATAGATGATCCTGTGGTCACTTCCCAGAGTGTAGTGCTCTTTCCTCGAATTGGAGCTCACAAAGAAGACTTGGAGGAAGTGATGCAACAACCAGGATATGGAGAAGGGAAACCCCGGAGTGGTAACTAAGACGAGTCATACTCGTGTCTCGTCCCTAGATGGCGTTGCTCGTGGTGCTGGGTAGGTAGATCAAGACAATAGATGGCGTGGTTCGTAGTGCTGGGTGGAGGGGTTCGTAACACTTCCCATACATTGGAGTTGATGCATAATATTATAAGGAACTCTAAATTAATAATGGTGGATTGTGGTTCATACTTCAGAGAAGTTGATATTATGTCGATTATGCAATTTTTGATATCTGCCAAAATCACAATTGACAATGATGACACTAGCTAAGCGAAATATTTAATATGGAGTAAAAAAATTGCCAATAGCAAAATGGCATTGAACAACATTAAACTTTTTTACCAAAGGTTATTTTCAAAATCCACCACCGAATGGAAACAATTTCAAGAAAAATGTCAATTGGAAAACAAAGTGACGTCAATTAGAAAAATGTTGAAGACTAATTTCCCAGTAAAGCAATATCCTCATATCAATAGTTTTATTGAAAATAAAATCGGGGAATTGTCATTAGGACATGATCGTTGGTTCAGCGATCTCATTAATATCGTTTCTACTATAGAGCAATCTTTAAATATATCAAAAAATCCTATATATCTTGACACTGATACTACATATAATATTAAAATAACTACATCTTCATGGACCCATGAAAATGGAACTCATTTTGTTCGTTTTTCACTGTCTACCAATACCATTGGCATCAACAACACAATCACAGTTACATTTCCAGAAGATGTTGAGTCTTCTCTTATTGAGGCGGTATTCGCCGAAACATTTCAATTTGAAAAAAAACGTGTTCTTCTAAAGTTAGGTTTGTATTAAAAAAATATTCTGATATTAATAGACAATATTTTAAATTTTTTACTCATTCTTTTATTATGAAAAATATAACAAATATAAAATTTTCTGATGATGAACTGAGTTGTGATTTTATTATGTAAAATTGTGATTATTTTTATTAAAAATTCTGAATTGTATTGTATTATTTTTTTTGTATTCTCATTTTTTAAGTTTCTTTTATTAGGTTTAATGATACCGATGAAATTTGCAATTATTATTTATTGGATTATAAGATTTGGATATTACATTAGAGCATAAGGCATAGTATTGAATAGTCT